TACTTAGGACAGAATTACATACTTAAGTGAAGAGCAGATGGACTCGAAACTCACTGAGCTGGATGTTTCCAAGCAACCATATTATCCAGGGATCTTACATGTACCTGAACCACGCTTCTAGTCTCAACATCAGTCAGTCAGTTTCGGTAACAGTTAGAGTTTCCGTTTCGAGTATAGGAGGCAGAGGCATTAGGTAGTGTCTTCAACGTTCCCGACTCTGTGTCAGCGTTTGAGCTTCAGCAGAAGATAACCCGAAACTGAAGCAGAGTCCTTCGAGACACTTATCCCAGGATATTCTTGTCAATCGACGGGATCATCGGCCAGTCAGTTGAAAAAGTACTAGTTGCTCGCCTTCCTTTTTCTAGACAATCGCATGACGTGCCAAAGCCATCGTAGCTGTGACTTTTCAGTCTGTAGAAGCAACAGCTGTACACTAAACTTCTCTCGGATATTCTGGACCATCTGGAGAACGCGTGAGCAGGTCAGTTCGCCCTACAAAGCCTATTTCAGTCGCTTGTACCTTATTTCGAAGTTTTTCAGTCACGTCCTACGACTGATGACTGTGGGTGAGCATCGCGATGAAGATCGCATTGAACATGGAGCTTAGTTTTCAGACTCAGCTCTGCCTTCGTCACAGTGGTTCAGGACCTTCACGCTATTCCAATTTGCCTTGGAATTTTTTATTTTCCGTCATCAGTAAATATGAACCCGCGAAACATGAACTTCTCTACCTGCTTTGCCGCTTCTCCGTTTATATGAAAAGAACAACGGGCATAAGAACGAAAAAGTACCATACATTTCGTTTTAGATACGTTCACAAGCATGCCGGTCCCGTCGCACTCGGCTGCGAACCTTTCCAGGGAGCACTGAAGATCAGTTTCAGAAGATGCTAATAAAACAAGGTCGTCTGCAAACAGCAACCTTCTCGTCTGCACATCTACATCGATACACTCATCGCCTTGGCTGTTCCTGATTATTCTATCCATGTACAACACGAACAGGAGAGGAGACAAAACGTCGCCCTATCAGAGACCAGTGCCAACGCTTCGATTTAACGCCGCTTACCCTGACGCAGCACCTACTATCAGCAGATAGTGATGAGATGGCCCGTAGCAATTGGCCATCTATCCCGTACATTCGCAGGTACATTCATAAATTGTTTTG